AGCGTGCATTTGCTCTGCTATCCACTGTATTGTTCTTTTAAAATTAAGCAATGTTAATGAGTTCCCAAAAGTGTCCACATGTGATTTATCAATTCAGAGGATTTCTAAAGCTGGGCAAAGAGACCAACTGGCAGGTACATTTAGATTCCAAGTGTCCAAAACTCTCTAATAATTAAATTTTAAGAGTGGCATATTTATTATTATCTGGCAGATTTTTGATTAGCTGTGAAGAAAAAGCATCAAAATACATGCCGTTGTTGGTGCTGATATCTTGCAGGGCAAATTGAGCTACTGCTTGCACAGTCCACACTGCTGCTATTCATTCCCAAAGCTCACCTACTTTTAAGGCAACATGTTGAAAGATAAGAACGTTGGGGTTCCGGTGTGTATGAAGTAAAACACAGAGAGGATATTTTGCCAGAAGAACAGTAAAATGCCAACCACTTGCATTTTCCTGTCATCAATTCACACCACTGAGCATCTTAAAAAGAATGAAAATACTACTGTCTGTGTATGATTTATGTAACTACAAATATATAAATTTAAATGTTATTTAGAATTTGGTTCTAGACTAGGCAAAATACCAAAATAATGTGGGTTTTTTGTTTGTTTCATGGATGTATGAACTAATTAACAATTAATTTTTTAAAGATCTTATTATAATGTTTTTGCATGCCATGGGTTTTCTCATGTGGTGACATAACAGGGGATATACGACCTCCTATTAGAATTAAGAAATAAATACTAAGGAAATTTAAATATAAATTCTGTGTGCATGGTGTTAATGCCTCACAGTATAGCCTTATGGACTCACTGCTCACCGACTATGGATTTGATTCTTGACTCTTCTCGACTCCTTCTGCAGAATTTTCATGATTCTGTTACAAGGTTAAGGACCAGGTGGATTGTAGCATTTGTGTCATTGTAAACCACTATGCTGTATAAATTTTTGCTGTATAGAGGGAGACTGGAGCTATGCAAATTATTTTGATTTAACGTGTCTAGTAAGTAAAAATATTTATCTAGTATATAGATTGTAGTTCATTGATTATCCATACATCCCGGGATGTATTGACCTAATACTGTTCTTTGCCTTGTACAATGTCAAGCATATAAACTGTAACAGATTACCGTTAGGATTTGCTGTATGCTTCCATAAGTGAATTCTGCCACTACCCATCTTCTTCTTTCTTCTCATGAAAAGGCTTTCAATTAGGTTGATGGCAAAAACAAGGTGGTGTGGTAATGGACAGAGAGTGGGAGGATTATAGCTAATGGGCCGTGAGAATGGGGCATGCGGTCTTCTTCACACCCCAATGGATATTATGCCCAGAGCGTTTTAGTAGCCAGGAGTATCAGCAAGCATCAGAAACTAAACATAATCATCCCAACCTTCAGAGGATGACATGCTTTATTTTTCAAACTCAAGATAACCAGCTGAGCATTGACCTAGGTGTATGGTGATGCAGAACCAGAACAGAGCACATGGGGTACATAAATTGTTTGAAGAGTTTTTTTCAAGACCACTCTGCCAAATGTGAGCATCTTTATCTTTGACAAAATACCCAAATCCACATCAAACACGCACATCATTTAGCCTTTAGGACAGGTGCTCAGCTGCTTCTGTGAGAGTTGTTCAGTCTAAAGGGTCTAACTGAATGTCATGCTCTCCTCAAGCTTTGCTTCAGATGAATTTTTGCTGCCACATTATATGAGTGTAAGCTTTTTACCGCAGAAACTCTTATTAAACTCTTTTGTTGGTGTATGTTTTTCACCTGTTTGTAACTAGGCTCTGCTGAGCTGCCCCAGTGTTAGGACTAGTGCAACAATTTTCATCTCTGGTGGAAAGGGATAGTAAAGTTGCTGCATATACTGTATATCATGCTCTGTACCACACATAGTCCTCAGCCAGATCAGTCTTATTCTCTCATAGGTATGTGAAATGCTCTTTATGACAAATATGAACGTAAATGAATGAGATTTTCATAGTGGAGATAAAGAATCATCATCTGGGATTAACTCAAATAACACACTGACCTTCTGGTGTATCTTACGTAAATGAAGGGGTCTGTATGTAGTCAAACAAAAACAATTGGATTTTTCTACGAGTTATGTAATAATAAGGCGGTTAAAGGAGCCTGATGTGCGAGGAATATGTCACTCTGGCTAATGCAGCTAGGGGATGTTAACAATAATATGAAATTGCAAACATTGTCGGGAAATTTTTGTATTTTTCCAACTTGTGAACTTAATTTGAAAAACATAGAAAATGAGTTTCTGTCACATGCATAAAATAATTAGATTTTTTTGTAATATTAGTATATACCTGTAATATGTAGAAAAATGTATTGTAGGGACTCACTTTTATGAAACTATAAGAACATAGATAACACTTCTGCCATGTATAATGCATTATAGATAACTTCATATCGCTTTACAATGATCGGTATAAGAATGAATAAAGCATTATAGCATCATTTTTTGACAGTCAAAAGGCATTATAGTGATGAGTTTAATAATTCATAAGCTGAATGAATGCCATGCCTATAAGAATCTATGAAAACATCAATAACACATTATAATGCATTCATAATGCACAATGAATATGGATGTAACTATTATAAATATTTATAGTCGTGTTTATAATGCATTATAATGTGTTATTGATGTTTTCATATACTTTTATAGACATGGCATTCATCGAGAGTATTATTGAAAACCAGATTTTTTCCCAACTTTTTTTTGCATATAATCATGTTATAGTGCTTTACATCAGTATATAAATGCTGAAATGTCTTTAAAGAAAAACTCTTTTTTTTTTGTCACAATTAGACAGGCAAACACATACCAGTACAAATACCAGTACAAATTGTATTCCCTGATCAAACACAATGTTACGTTTAAATTTTTTTCCTTAAATCCATTATGTTTGAAATAAATATTGAAAGAATTATTTGATTACATTGCCACTGACAAGTAACCTAAGCCCAAAACATAAACATATCATTCTCTATCACACATCCTCCACAACATAAGAATGATCACTGAGGCCAGAGAATTCCTTTGTATGAGTAAGCTGACATGACAGTGCTTCCTGCAATATAAATGAGTTCTACCAAGCACCAGGCTCCTATTTTAAAGTGACACCACAGTATATAGTCTGCTTCTTGTCCCCCTTGGCAAAATCTTCTCAAAGGAATCCCCCCTGATCAGGCAGACACATTGTTGCAATAGAGCAGTTTAACTGCAGCTGTTTAGAGCTGCTAGTACAGGGGTTCCCTTATAGTGCCCTGGCACCCCTACAGCATAAGGGCGGACATTTACAAGACTACTGCATTATTATGGTTGTGGAAGAATTGCTTCTTGATTCCCTTGCTAGATCTCCCTCACTGCCTACTCACAAGTCACAAGTCTGATTAACAAGCCTTCCCATATTGGAATCCAAAGAACATCAGCTTAGCTTCCAACTGACATCGAGTGGTGATGCTTTTGGGGCTTTTACTCTAAATGTACAATGTCTGGCTGCTTTGGCTTTGGATGGTTGCCTGTTCCAATCACAAAAGGTGCTTCCATGACTTGCCTCCATGGGAAGAATGGCTACTGGAATGCAATGCTTGTCATAGGCGGCAATATATTATTCTCTTTTCCCAAGACTGCATGGCCTTCCAGCTGCTCTATATTTTGTACAAACAGCACCCTAACCTAATAAGTAGATATTGGTATTGCCTACACTGTATAAACTGAATATCTGCCCAACCAGTACATGCTATGCATTACTGACATGGATCATGTGTCTCACTTAGTGTTTTATTTGTACTAACTTTCCTGCTCACAGAGAAATGTATGAAAACAATGTATCATGTGCCTTTTTTGTTACCCACCAGCATATTTTTCATTTTCTGCAGGGATGTAGAAAAAGATCAATAGAGTGAGATACAGAATGTTAGTGTGAAAATGACAGTGAAGATCTGGTAATGATCAAATATGCTTGTTATTGGCAGCCATTTATACTGTAGTTTTGTGACTACAAACAAGATAATCTGCAATTTGAGCTGTCATTATAATGGCTGCAACTGTATTCTATTTCTTGAAGGGAAATGTGCTTATGCGTTGAATTGTGTGAGTGTGAGCTAATACCACATACACCTACTGCTGTGAAATAATTACTTGAGCACAGCCACAGCAAACATATATAGACACATCTATGGAGTACATATGAAACACTTCACCTAAAGTAGGTATCGAAAAGTTTCCATTTCTCTATATATGAATACAAGGTCATGTGGTCATGGCAGGCTCTGTTGGAGCATATGGCTTGTGTCTGGGCTGCCGTAAGTGTACGAATTGAGGCAATGTCTGTGTTTTAATTACTCGTCACGTTGGCTGCCTGTGTTCGTGCTAAAGGGGGTTTGTCTTTTCCCACAGCAGGGGCTCCAGGCCTCTGCACATCTGCCAGATGGTGCCATGCACTGTACCTACCTTTTACAATTCACAGAGCATTGACTGACATGTTCACTCATGCTGACCTGTTCCTGAAAGCCATATTTGAGAATAGCATACATGATAGAGACACTGGGTGCAACTGGTATCAGAGCAACATGACCCTAACAACTCATTCTCAGCTGATTTTGTATAGAGCATTATGGTTGTATGAAGTTGGGATGAATCAGACTATTAACTCCAAAATTTAATCATAAAAATGTTTAACTTACCTACCCTAAGTATTAAATTAGTATTATTATTATAATGATTATTATTATACTTGTTACTTTTCTTTTGGTTAATATTTGTTTATGTATGTATTCTTTAGTTATGTATTCTTCAGTGTTATTCCTTTAACACAGAACAGCTGTTTCTTTTCCGTTTGGCAGGTAATGGCATGTCTGTAATGCTAGCCTACTGATTAACAGAATAAAGGGAGGGGGTAATACCTGAATAATCGGTGCTGGTTTCTCTGCAGACTGTCACTAACAGTGTCATTCATTGTGTTGTCCTTACAGTATGCACTGGTACTGAAAACAAGCTGAGCACGCTGTCGGATCTGGAACAGCAGTACCGCACCCTGCGCAAGTATTACGAGAACTGCGAAGTTGTAATGGGTAACCTGGAGATCACTAGCATCGACCGAAAGCGTGACCTCTCCTTCCTAACGGTGAGATTTAGTATCATCATCCTCAAATCCTCCAACCCTGCATGACATTCTCTGCACTGTACTGCATCTCAGCAAGAGATGAAACAATTACTTGGCTTGCCATGCTATGCTGCTTTTACATATCTTCTGCAGCCGGGATGAGCTGTCCTCTAAAACAGATGGAAACACATCTTTCAGCCCCCACCCCCCTCTTATTATTGAGGATTATATTAGACATCCCTGTTTTCTGTTTTTCTAGAGTGGTTCCTCCTATAATAGCCAACATATTGGTTAGAACTGAACATGTTCAATAATCCTATCTATAATATTAATCCCACCTTCCTAAAGTCCCCCCGCTATGTGATCTTAAAGGAATGCAAGAAAATTTTAACAAAATGCGAAAATTCAGTTATTTTTCTGTGTTCATGTTAATTGGAGGGTATGTAATGTGCTCTGCAGAAACTATGTAAACTGGCACCAAAGCATTGTGGGTCGCGCTACCACCTGACACATCCTGGGCTTGAGGTTGAATCCCATGTCTGCTCTGGGTGTGTGAAGTGTTCATGTTCTCCGCATATTATATAGTGGTGATTTAAAAACTTCTGTCACATTAAATATGAGTCTATTCTGAAAGGTAAGCAATGAATCCCATGGATGGGATGCTAGTCATTTTCAAGGTACTTTTAAATGTTCACATTCTAATTATAATTTAGAGTCACTGACCTACTTCTGGAATTTTGAGGTTTAGCTAAATGCCCTCAAACATAGCAGTTTAGAAATAACTAGGGCTGTCAAAATTAACCGGTAAACTCGGATTAATCCATCATCATGATTAATCTGATAAAAAAAAATTAACGCAATTAACCCATCTGCAGTGCGGAATGACTCAAAATCCCTGAAATATCTCTGTCAACCCATTTCGGGCAGTTTTGGTACATTCCATTTGCCCTCGGAACTCATATTCCGAGTCAGATTCTGAGTTTTGTCGTCTGAGTGACGACATGCGCGCTCCCGTTTCTTGGAGATCTGAGAAATATCTCAGAGCAGCACAGAGGATCCCGAGTTCAGAATCAAAGATGGCTGAGCCCTTTATCAACAGAAGGGAAAGTTGTAGTTTTATACTGTTTAAGCACTACTTCTCATTTGTGGCTCATTAAATCGGTCGCACACACTATACCGTTCAACTTATCTGTGGACGTGTTGCTACGGAGTTTTATAAGTAAAGCACCGTGCGTAATGTGTTATCAACTGATATTGCTAACAATGGCAATTAACCGGGCTAGAATTTGATTTCATGATTAGTCGGATTATTTGTCGGATTTACGGTAGTTTGGGCTAATTGTAAGTGAAAGAAGATAAAGGCCATTTAAACTGAGGTACCTTAAATCTGACAAGTTGTTGGGCTAAGCAAAAAATCTTGCTTTTTGATATGGGTCCATGGTATTGCACTTCTGTGGCAGATGGAATGCATCCGACTCCTGTTCAAGATGTTCAGTAAACATGTTAAGTGCATATATATTCCCTTTTTTTCTTGAATCTGTTTGCTCATGCAAAATGAAATGAGATTAATATAGATTAAAAATGAATGATATTTAATCATGATTAATCTAAATTAATCCACAACAACCCTGTGATTAATCTGATTTAAAAAATTTATCGTTTGACAGCACTAGAAATAACATAAAATACATTTGGTAAAATTTTCAGGGTAAATGTAACTATAAAACAGTTCTCCAAGACTAGTTTCAGTGAATTTTAATCCTGAAACAGAAATAAATTACTAGGGTAGTTGTCTATTTGAGCTAGGGTGACAGCCAACATGACTCTGAATCCAAAAAGGAGGACTAAGGCTCAACAAGGAGGATACCCATGAAAAATTGCTTAGTGTGTATCGGGGGGGCGGGGGGGAAGCAGGGAGTGGTATACCTATTACAATAATTATCTTGGCTTTCTATGTCTGTTTTGTGTAATGGGTAGAAGTGAGGGATAAAGGAGAACAAGGGGGCTAAATGCAGCACTCCTTTTGGTCAGAGGGCTGGAGCATCAGACTGTCCAGACGACATCCAGATGAGTGGTCACCTTAGTCTGACCACTACACAAATGAGAGCTTCATAGACAAGCATACATGGAAGTAATTCACACACCACACTCTGAAAAACCTATGTCCTCTGAATGTAACCAGCCATTGCTCTGATACCCATCTTCTACTTTATTCCTCTAATGTTTAACGGACTAATGTGTTGTTAATTATTGTTATTATTTGCAAACATAAACTATAAACATTTCCAATAGGCATCATTGGCTGAACAATTAGGCAATGGGGAGGTTGATAAGGAATATTGCAGATATGACATTGCGGACTCTCTGTTTCTCCTCTCTCACATTGCCTCCTAAAATATAATTATAACTCATTTGTTTACTACCCTTTGATTCTTAGGTGCTTCACTATAATTTGGTTTGACTGTTATGACAAAAGTTTTTAAATTTTTTCAGTTCTATCATCATGAATGATGTTTAAGGTAAAACCAAGATTTGGAAATTTGGCCAAGAAGTGATTTACATGAATTCCAACGGCCTCATTGACTCTCCTGCCACCTGATAGCAATTTTTCACAATACTGCTCTGCTCCTCACATAGACTTAATAAATAAATCAGCTGGTGTAGACTGCAGTGGCCAAACTGCATTCAAATGAAGACACATGCTGGCAGGAAACATGAATGTTACACTAAAGATGTAAATGGGAATAATTGTGTTGGATAGGGTAAATGGTTAGAAAAGAGACTGGTGGATAAGTATCTATAGGATACTGGTTTATGAAACACGATATGGAGTCAGTCATAAAACAAAATAACATGCTATTAGAATGTAAATCTTTTTCTCACTTGAATTTTTGGGATGGGCCATTAGTGAACAGTTATAGCCAGTTATAGGCAATGGTTATAGGCATAAGTGGACTGTCATGAGGATAAGTACAAGTGCTTGAGCACTGTATCAGTATCAATGCACCCACAGACAAGTTCATATGTTGGAACATACTAGAGCATATTTCAATTTCCTAAGAAAAAGTTGATGCATATTCAGTACAGCCAGTTTTAAGAGGACTTTCAGAATTTGCATGAAAATGCAGCTTTTTTGGAAAATCTTTGCCACAATATGATTTTACCATTTAAAATATATACACATATGAAAAAACTAAATCTTAGAACAAATATGTAACAGTATGGGAAGAGTCAAGACACCCAGCAGTAACCAGTCCAATGGATGAGCACTCAAAGCACGTCTTTGCATGACCTGCCATGTAGTGAGTTTTGCAAAGAGGAAGGATGTTAGGTCTGAGTGGAATTGTAGCCAGACAGTGGCTCATCTGTGTGGCCTAGTGTTAAAATTCCTCCCAGCACTCTCTACAACTAACACCTCTTTCTAAAGGAAACATGATTAATGGACCTGATCAGTGTACAATAGGTGTGAGAGTGTGTGTATTTCTGAAAGGGTTATGTGGATAAGAGAGTCTATAAGACTTAGTATGACCGGACAGACTAATGCCCTTTTTCTTTCTTGCACTTTTTACCTAAAGCCTTCTCTTTATATATCGATCAGGACCAGTTTCAGGGACTGAGGAAAATTAAAAAATAACTTTTTACACAGTATTTCACAACATCTGAACCATGTCATGATCGCTATCAGTTTCACCTCATTTCCACTCTCCTGCCCATCAGCCGGAAAACTCTTGACTTCCAAACATTCCAAAGCATTGTTCCAGAACCATTAATCAGGGCGTTTAGATTTTTTGACTAATCATGTCCCAGGCCCTCTGTCTATGAAATTCAGTGAGTTTTTGAAACCACCATCAGGTCTTTGCTGTACCTGCAACAGTTTATCATAATTTAACACTGCAAAATTCATTTATGAAACATGTTTATTCAACATTCAGCATCCATCCATCCATGGGCACAAGCACTGGGCACAACGCTGCAATATATCCTAGAGGGATGAGATCATTTCATATAGAATGAAGATAGAAGCTTTACCTGTTGGTCAATGTTTTGTATGTGAGAGTCACTGAAACTCCTTATTTCTCTGTTGTGGGTAATGAAAAGCATGCTGGTGATGCCTGACTGTAATTATGACATTGTAAGTGTCTTCTCTAATTACTCTGAAATGAGGAGGCTGTAGATTGTTTTAATGGGAAACTTTAACCTGTCTTCTTCTATGGATATCATCTGAAACTAGCTCCAAATTATCATGAAAACAGGTATAAAGGGAAATACAGCATCTACAGACCCTCCATGTGGAATACAGAATCTATTTCTAAACGATATGGACAAAGAATTATTTGTGCCATTCTTTACCAGAAGCCACTTTGTTGTGTCTCAATTCCATGCAACTCTTCACCCCCCTCCCATTTGTTCATAACTTGTCACAATCTGAAAAAGGTCTCATTATAATTACAAATCCATTTAGCTCAATGACATTTGACATAATTATACCATTCATCAATTCTGGCAGAATAACACATTCAGAGATGCTAAATGTTGATTAGTTCTTTAGCTGATTTAACCTCCAGATGATAATAATAGAGAAGCTGCAGGGCAAGGAGAAACTGTTCTCTGAAACGGCCAGTGAGGGTATTGACCTGTGAAAGCAAGACCTACTTTTGGAAAACACATTAATGCTTGAATGGTCCAGCATTTTGCATTGCCACTGGAACATTTCTGCCTTATTTGGTTTCAAAGCACATTTCCAAGCTCATGCATTAAAGCCAGCAATTCTGTGTAAAGTTTGCATTTTTCCACAGATTTGCCTTCGTAATGACCCCCCTGAAACCCAATTGCCTGCTGCTAATTACAGTTTTGCCTGGACTGGGAGCCATTAATCATACCCATTGATATATGTGTGCAGTGATATTTAAATTGGTGGCGAAGCAGACAGGGAATCTTCCCAGCAACTGATTCACCTGCAAAGTCACCTGCTGCATACCTTTCACCACCTTTCAGTGTTCTGTCTTTTCTTATTTTTATTG